AAATTAAGCCGGGAACAGGCTTAGAGGAAGGTGAGGGATCGATTTTCAGCGTGTCAGGCAACGAAGAGGTCAGAGGTAGGCCTGGCCTGAGGCCTAGTTAATGTTTATTTTGTGCTGCATAATGACGGGGATAGGTAATTTATTTTTAAAAATAAAGAGCTCTTGCTTGCTAAGTAGCTTTCTCCCCTCTTTTTTTAAAGAGCTCTACACATACTCTACACATTTTGACGTTAAAATTATATCTTCGAATAATTACATAATATTTACATGTAGATCTAGATTTAGACCTATACATTAAATATTATTTAATGTCACGTCTGAATGTTATATAGCTGTCAAAACCGTTGAGGGTGGCACAAAGTAACATCTTTATACTTTCATAAATTGCAGGTCTTTAAAAAATAATTGGTAACGTAGTACATCCATAATTTTCTAAAGTGCCTGTATTTTCTGATTCATTCCAATGTCAAGGGAAAATGATAATTACGGTAGGCCCTACTGTGTGTAAATGGGCTTGATCAGGGCGTGTTCGTTCTGTTTTGATTTCAACAATATGAATTTTCCTCATTTTGACTCAAAATAATCTAATTAACAGTGTTAGCTCATCTATTCGGGTGCTTAAAAAATCATAGTCAAGATAATGACAGTATAAGAACGTATATTAATAGGCTATCTAGCCTGTCACCAAGGAGTTTACAGTAGTTCTAAACTCCTTGCCTGTCACCTATCTGTAAGAAAAACCCCAACAACTTACTTTTGGTCTGCCTTAGAGAGAAGGGGGAGGGTGGGTGAGGAAAGGGGGGGGGGGGGTCGAGAGAGATCAGAGAGAGAAAAGAAAGAAAGATGGGGGGGAGAAGGGGGGGGGAGAGAGAGATAGAGAGAGAGAGAGAGAGAGAGAGAGAGAGAGAGAGAGAGAGAGAGAGATCAGAGAGAGAGAGAGAGACACACACACACACACACACACACACACACACACACACACACACACACACACACACACACACACAGACGAGAGAGAGAGAGAGAGAGAGAGAGAGAGAGAGAGAGAGAGAGAGAGAGAGAGAGAGAGAGAGAGAGAGAGAGAGAGAGAGAAACAAAGTCCAATTTAATGTGTTTGTGCGTCGATTCAATATAGGCCTACTTATAGCCACATATATTGTCTCTTCTTATTTTTTTAAAAAAAGTAACCGCCCCACGGTCCGCTAGTTTATTTTTTGTAGTGTAGGCCTAATTTTATTTCTTTTCATTTCACGAAATTCTCCATTCACAGTAGCCTATCCTAAAAATAAGCTCACATCTCTTGCTTCGAGTTTATGATCACAATCCTTATTAGAAGCCGATCATCTGTATACACGTAATGAACCGTTCTATTAAATAGCAGCTATTATGTATACATGTATTATATCGACCATGAACGCTGGACATTCACTAAAGAGGATGGCAAAAGAGGTAAAGGGTCTATAGGTAGACAAAGAATAACGTTTTAGAAAATTTGCAAGACCGGCCAAGTTGATTTTCTAAAAAAAAGATCAGCATAAATAACATTGCTAGATCGTCTAGTATAACAAACCCTCTCTGGGGCGCGCTCTCGAGATCGTGGCCTGGGGGTTAAGGTGTTGGCCTCTTATTCAAAGGTCCCGACCGGGTTCGAATTCGGGTAGCGACCGAAACATTTTCTTCCCTAAAATTGTCTCCTTTCACGATCTTTTCCTGCTCTCTAGCAATGTTCGATCTGTCGTCTGCGCTTTCGTCTCCACTTTTCCTCCCTGCCCCATCCCCCCCCCCCCCCCAAAAAAAAAAATACCCCACAAAACAACAATACCGGGTAACGTACAATTGTTGAAAGCATCCGAGAGGAGAAATGAGAAGTGAGCGAGCCATGATCGTCGATCTGCTTCAGTTTCAGATCTGACATGTGAAAAAGGAGAAGAAAAAAATTTGCCTTCATATGCAATATAACATCTTAGATATTATATCATGTATCTTAGACCCATCTGAAAATCGAACGAGCATCTCGTGCTTCTGACTGGTGATTCAGCTCTATTGTCTGAATATGTCATGGGGGAAACCCTCACCAAAACGAGGCTAAAGTTATAAAATTAGACCTAATTTCTTTTCCTCTTAGAACTGGTCACATGATAACAACATGGAGGTCGTGCTAGCATCCAACTATAAACACTCTGGAGAGCATTGTCTGTAGACTTGAGTGAAAGTATACACCATGGAATGTGGGTGCATTTTGCGCCGCTGGCGCAAGTGGATTCGGCTAGTGGTTGTCGTTGTTTATGTTGTATTATTGGTGATAGCATTGCCTCTGTGTATATGGGAACTCGAGAGGAAAGGAGCTCCTGATCACGTCCAAGCTTGGTTTATTGCTGGTCTCTTTGTTATGCTGGCACTTCCCATTTCGTTTTGGGGTATTCTACAACATGTCATCAATTACACAACTCCACGTCTGCAAAGGCATATTATCAGGTTTGTAACCCACTCATTTTGGTTGAAGGTGCTATTGAACGAGATGGGAAAATTATTAGGAAGTGCCTATTTTCAATGTCGCGTTGCCATTAGCCATTAGCCAGCACCAGTGCTGAACAAAAGGCCGCGTTGCCATTAGCCATTAGAGTCTAGCGCCAGTGCTAAATAAAACACCGTGTGTAAAATTATAAAGCTTAATCTACGCTTCGTTGTCTGAAGTTCTGATGGCCGAATAGACAGCACGTCTGCGCTTGAAGCCAAAATTTTAATAACATGGGTTCGAATCCCGGTGCCGGTACTGGAAGTTTAGGGGGTTTTTTGTTGTCCTCTTCTCGACTGACCAACAAACTTTTTCCATAATTATAACTTGTTGCTTTGTAGTCTTATTATGTAGATCTAGTGATGAAGCTTGCACATTCTGGTTTTGTCCCCAAGAGGACCTCTGTACGTCCAAGTAGGCCTTAGTATAGCCTCTATACTTTTCCTTAAAAGGAAGTGGCTATTCTCACCCGGGGTGAGAATAAAAATACGATCTACCTCTCACCCCGGGTGAGACTTGCCAGCATAGGCTATTCTCACCC